CAGTGTCCTCGTCCAGCCAGTGAAGGCAGCGACCTGCCGTGGGGTTTCCTCAGGCCCAAAGACCTGTGGCGGGCGGGCTCTTTGCTTGCTCCCGGGGGGCTGCTCCTGTCCTCATGCCTCCTGTTCTTGACCCCCAGCTTATCTACCTGCCCCCGCCCTGGGGCGACTGCAAGGCCATCACCGGTGATTCCGAGTTCTTCGATACCTACAGCATCACGGCCTGTCGCATCGACTGCGAGACCCGCTACCTGGTGGAGAACTGCAACTGCCGCATGGTGCATATGCCTGGTGAGCCCCTGAGGGCTGGTGGGGAGTGCAGGCAGCTCCGGAGCAACCCAGCAGGGCCACATTCAGCTAAGGAGAGCCACTTTGGATCAGGGCGCCACCTTCGGCCCCCTGCCAAAATGATAAAGCATGAGGCAGGCATGTCCTCGGGTGGGGAGATCATACAGCCCCCTGCTCGGGGTCTGGAGCCCTGCTGGGGATGCGGGTGAGGGGTCAATATCCCTGCCCCAGGCAGATCAGACCATGGTCCATGCACCCCAGCATCTCCCCTGCTCCCTGGATCAGGTCCGCTGGGATCGTGTCCTGGTGCACAGGCCTTGCTGAGATGTTGCTCTTTCTCTCTTTCTGCAGGCGATGCTCCCTACTGCACCCCCGAGCAGTACAAGGAGTGCGCCGACCCGGCCCTAGGTGAGGCTGCCCTGCCGCCCCCTTGCAGGTTTGGCCTCTGGCCTGGAGGCAGGTGCGCGGCTCCTGCCGGGGTGAGGAAAGCCCTTCGCAGCAGCTGGAGGGCGGATGAAGCTCGCTTGGAAGCTGTCCTCAGCCCTGCTTAAGTTGCACCTCCCTGCAGCATCTCCACCCTCATTACATGCCAGGAAGGTGCAAGTAGCCTTGGCGTGGCGTCTGTTCGGTTCTGGCCTTTGCCCAGGCACCTCTGGGGCCCGAGCGCCTCGGCCGCATGTCGCGGGGCAGGAAGCCCTGAGCTGTAGCCATGTCCTGATCTCCACTCCATGTGTTAGATGGGTCTTACTGTCCACAGCATAACAATGTCACCAAGCCATATTGGCTGAAGGAGCTCTAGTTATATCCAAGGTGCCTCCCTGGTCCCCAGCCTGATGGTGTCTGTGCTCCTTCCATGGCCTTCCTTGGGATGCGAGCCTGGTCTTATCACCACTAAAAGCATAAGCCAAAGGAGTAGCTCCACAAGCAGGCAGCTGCAGTAGACTCTGATCCTTTCATCTGCACAAGCCCCTGAAGAGAGGGAAAAGACCCAACAACCCCTGCTGCCAGTCCTGCCAGCAACCCCATTGCCACCTGGATTGTGGCAGAGCCTTGCCCGTGGCAGGCAGCAGCCCCCAGTACCCCTTGACTTTCACCCCTCCTGACCTGCGGGCACGCTTTTATGAAGAACTTTGGTTCGTGACCTTCCCACCTCCGCCCTCCTCCGTCACCCTCTCCCCTCGGACGATCGCCTCCCCTTCCTCTCCTTGTATCCGCACGGTTGGCAGCTGACCGCAGTTTCTGTAGTTTGAGTCACTTCCGTGAGTGCCCCAGGTCAGTCGTCATCCCAAGGGGGTGCTGGCCTGAGGGTTGCAAACAGCCCCACGGCCCTAGTAGAGTCTGGTTTGATCGGGTCTGTCTCTCTCCGTCTCCTGCTCCCAGATTTCCTGGTGGAGAAGGACAACAATTACTGCATCTGCGAGATGCCCTGCAACGTGACCCGCTACGGCAAGGAGCTGTCCATGGTGAAGATTCCCAGCAAGGCCTCGGCAAAGTACCTGGCCAAGAAGTACAACAAGTCAGAACAGTACATCGGGTGCGCTGGGGGGAGAAGGAAAGGCAGGGGTTGGTTGCGTGGGCAGAGCTGAGGGGTGCCCAGGCCAGAAGGGCTTTGCCTCCCACTGACTCCTCTGGCGCGTGCCCACCCTGTCTTCAGAGCTGCAGGGGGCTTGGCGCTGACTGAGCCCCCGCCTCCCTAGCCTTGGGCCCTGCTGGGGTCTTTGCTCACACGACCCATGCTGATGTGTTCAGCTCTGATGCCCCTCTCACCCCTCTCTTGTAGAGAGAACATACTGGTGCTGGACATCTTCTTTGAAGCCCTGAACTACGAGACCATCGAGCAGAAGAAAGCCTATGAGGTGGCTGGCTTGCTGGGTGAGTCTGCAGGTGCTGGCGGCCATGCTCGGGAGGAGACACCCATTCCTGAGCAGTTCTAGCCTAGCGTGTGCTGAGGGTCCATTCAGCAGGGATCCTAGGCTGCCTCCCGGGCCTACGGGCCCTCCCTCCTGCCTGGCCGTGGGGAGCAGCGAGATCTGGGGCAGGGAGGGCAGTTGGGGACCCTAGTGCTGTGAGCAGCATGACCCACCAGCCTGCTCAGCAGCAGCAGAAGCCATGCCTGCTCGCACCAGGCTCCCTCCTCAGCCTCCAGACGCTTGGGCTCTTTGAAGAAAGGATCTAGAAAATGCCGGTGGCTTCATCCGCTCCATCTGTGCGGAGCAGTCGAGGTTTGGGCTCAGGGGGGAGCTCGTGGGGCAAGGTCGCCGAGTCGCGCCTGTGTCACCTGAGCTGAGGACCACCAAGGCCTGTGGAGCAGAGGGTGAGCCATGGGGAGGCCGAGGGCTGCAGCTGAGCCCGGCAGAGAGCTGCAGATAAAGGACAGGCAGTTGGGTGAGATGTGCACGTGCAGTCACAGCAGCTTGCAGGGACCCGCGCTGCACCTCCGGGAGTGGAAGCGCCCAAGATAGGTGGTGTCCACCCACCCCCCGGGGCACAGTTCCTGTCCACAGTGGGTCACAGGCCCCCCTGGCTTGCCTCTTCTGGGGCACATGCCCCCCCCCCGCTGCCTTCTCTAGGGTCGGGCCCACAGTCCCCAGCTGATCTTACCAGGCATTGGCCTTGCACGGCTGCCCATCACAGGCAGGCGCTAACAAGATTAGCGTGAACTAACAGCAGAGGGATCCGGCCTGTCGCTGCAGGCAAATGAGTCACTACAACAGGTGCAGCTGCCGCCTCCTCCCTCCCACCTCCTTTCTTTTCTCCTTCTCTGCTTCCATCCCTGCTGTCACCCGCCCCAGGGAGCAGAGCCTGCTGCTCCCCCCCTGACTGCCTCTCATCCCCTCTCCTCTGCAGGTGACATTGGTGGGCAGATGGGGCTGTTTATTGGGGCCAGTATCCTGACTGTGCTAGAGCTGGTTGATTATGTGTATGAGGTGAGTTGCCTCGCTGTCCCTTCTCCTTGGCTCTGGAGCCTGGTCAGCAGCGGGGGGATGAAGCCCCCTTCCCTGCCATGCAGCGGAGCGCTCCCCAGAGGTCCCCTCCCTGCCAACCTGCCTGCCCTGCCAAGAGCAGCTGCTCCCCCGCTCCACGTCCCTTGCCTGCTGGCCGCTCTTGGCCTGGTCTTACCCTCCAGCCCTGTCGCGTCAGCCTGGGTTTTTCTCCTTTGCCACCCCCCAGGCCTCTGTCAGGCTTGGGCTCCTCTTCCAATCCTTATGGACCCAAATTCCTCCTGTGAAGACCCCCCCCCCATACTCTTATCCCACCCTTCCTACCCAGACCCTGGTGCTGTGGGGTTGTGCTCTCAGCCTTCCCAGCACGCGTGCAGGACGTGGAGTCACGCTGGATCCCCTGCTGGAAGCAGGATCTGGCCTGAGCAGTTCCCGTCACAGACGTCCCATCGCTGGTGACCTGGTCCTTCCCCAGCTTTGAAGAGCACGGGGCTGTTCGTGTCCAGAGGGACTGTCTCTGCCAACAGATGCTTTTGCTGCCCCCAGGTTATAAAGCACAAGCTGTGTCGCCGGGGCAAGTGCCGAAAGAACCACAGAAGGAACAACGCGGACCAGGGCGTTGCTCTGAGCATGGATGATGTGAAGCGCCACGTGAGTACTTGGCACCCCACCCCGGTGCCCTGGGCCCGGCCAGAGTTAGCCTCCACCCTCCAGTGCCCACGTAGTGGGGGCATCAGGGCATTGAAGGGCTGCCCCTCTAAGGACCTGTCCCTCTCTAGCAGCGCTCGCATTGTCATTGCTGGGGCGTTTGGGATTGTCTCCACACGCAGGGACTGACTGCTCCTAACTTGCCTCTCCCCTGTGCCCAGAACCCCTGCGAGAGCATAAGGGGCCACCCAGCAGGCATGACGTACGCAGCCAACATCCTACCTCACCACTCAGCCCGGGGCACTTTTGAGGACTTCACCTGCTGACTCGACGTCTGGATGTACAACCAACACTACCAAAGCCCTCTGGAGAGCTGCCCCTCTCCCCGGGAGCGTCAGCAGAGGGGACACACCTAGGGACCTTGCTCCTAGCCACGGTGGGACACGGACAAGAACGATGGCCTCGGTGCTGGGCCAGGCAGCAGATGGTTGTGTTGGGTTGGTTTCTGACCCTGGATATGGACTCCACAGCAGCTGCTCCCCTCCCCACCCCTAGTTTAGAGACTTGGACATGCCAGCCCAGCTACGCCGTGCCGTGACGCGACACTGGGGACGTCTCTTCCTCGGCGCCCTGCAGGGAGCTACCGCATGCTGGGCTGGGCCCAGGCCTTGCCCTGCTCCTGCCCTCGCCTCCCCCTTCGTTTTTAACTAAAGAGAGCAAGGAACCCAGAAGCCAGGAAGAGTTAGCTCTGTGGCTGTGACGGCACCAAGGGAGGAGGCCCTCGCCCTTCCCCACTCGTCCATCTGTCTGCCTGCTTTCCCTTCCATCCTGCTTCCACGGGGAGCCCTGGGAGGCCAGGTCGGGTGTAGGGAACCTGGTCCCTCTGCTTGAGCTGAGCCAGCTCTGCAGAGGACCCTGCTCCCACCCAGGAGGCAGCCCCCGTGTGTGCTGGGCTGGGTCCCCCCTGCTTCGGCAGGATGCTCCAGGTTGTCACCCCTGGGGCAGGTGGAAGAGGGTGGCGAGAGCTGACCCCCGAGCGCCTCTGCTGCCTCCTGGGCACAGCCAGAGCGCTCTTGCTCTCGCATCAGCCCCAGTGTATCTCACTGTATCTCGCTGAGTCTAGGGTCCTCAGGAGCCTGCCGCCATAAGAAGGGCTCTGTCCTGTGCCCAGCGCGCCCGCTGTCCTCCACTGCACCCGTGCACGGTGCTGTGAGCTGAGGCGAGGTCACGCCAGCTCCCTCCGTGAGCTAGTGTAGCTCTAGTCCTCCTATTGCCATCCTCCGCATGAGCTGCCCTGCCCCAGCCCCATGAGGTCTCTGTCCCCAGTCCCCTTTCCTAAAGCATCCACGATGTAGAGGGTTGAGGCCCCCTCCCGGCCTCCACTGTGGCTGGCCCCAGGGGTGGAGGAGGACTTTCCAAAGAACCCGAGGGGCCTCAGGCCGCTCTGCCCTCAAGCAGCCCCCAGGTGGATGGGAAGTCGCTGCGGAAGGGGCCTCTCCCCTGCCTGACGAGCCACCTGCATGGGGGCGAGCGCATTGGGTGGGCAGGGGATGTGGGGCCTGACCACATCTCCGGGATGCCCGTTACCGTGCAGGCAGTGGTGGTCCGGGGGGAGCCTGCCCAGTAGCATGGCCTCTCAGCCCAGCTGCTCCCAGGCTGCCCCTCAGCCCCTGGACCAGCTGGACACAGGTGTGACGCCTCCCCCCCCCACAAGGCCCTGGTTCAGCTTTCCCAGGGCAGCCACGTGCCGGCAGGTGCCTGCCCAGATCCTCGTCCCCGGGGGGTATGGGGCTTTGCGCCCCTCCCGCCAGGCTACGCACAAGCCCACCACGCTCCTGGAACAGCGAGTCTGGAGCCAGGAGCGCCTGCCGCCGGGAGCGCTGGCACCCTGGACTGAGCCAAGCGCCCGGGGCAGCAGCTTTGAGCAGGGCAGGTGCTACGCACACACCCCAGCCCAGGCCTTGGCCGCCCTCCCCACACCAAGTAGTCTTACCACAGGAGGGGGGTGTTGAGGTACAGGGCTCTTTGCTCTGGGGAGGGGGCGCACACCCACCCCATCCCTGCAGCTGGGCTCCCCCTGGGCAGCAGCTGCTCCTGGAAACACAGGGCTTGGGCTTGGTCTGCTGCAGAAGTGGCCAGCAGCTGTCCTGGGTCCGGGTCCCCTGGGGCCTTCTGCTAGCCGGCTGCCCTCAGGGGGGGTTGTGCTCAGGGAGCCAGACCCCCTCCATAGACCACCGCTCCTTCCAGACCCACGCCAGGCTGCTGGGCTGCAGCGGTTTGTCACAAACCCGGGGGTTGCCGTCCCAGGAAACCTCAATTGTTTTGTTCCACGGTCAATGAAAAAGCCTTCCTGTCGCCCCCCCGACGCTGGGCTCCAGCCCTGTCGAGCTCTGCCCCATGTTCAGCAACGGCCCTGCCGGGCTAAAGTGCTACTTATCTTTAAGAGCTTTTGCAATAAGTCTTTTTTTTAATGATGACTATTATTTTTTTAATCTTTCTTTTACTTTTATTGTTGTTATTTCCATGCCCTGACCAAAATTAGGAACGGGGGGGGGGGGGGGGGGGG